CCACGTTGTCTTCGCACATTCAGCCATCGCATGGGCCTATTTGGTCACGTGTTTAGTCATGAAAGCCTGGGATAAACCACCGCAGGCGTGGCCACACGATTACGCATTCTCCCACAGACAAATGCATCACACATGAACATCTCCAACATCCCACACCACCGGCACCCCTCATGTAAGCAGGAAGTGTGCACCTCGGCACCTTCCTTCACGTGGCCTCTTTGCTGCACGTGAGATCCGAGCGATCTACCCACTTGTGTGCGAAATCCTGATGTGTACATATGTGGGCCAGGTCGTGTGTGTGGCACGCGCAAGCGAGATGTTTTCAGCCCTTTTAGCCACCTTTTCTAACCTCAACATCATTTGGTTGACTAACCCGGACGGTCGATTGGTGCATGGGAGTGGGAAGCAATGGTGAGGTCGCCGGTCTCATTATGAACAACTTGATGTGCTTAAGACTATCACGGTGTGCTAAAAATCGGGATTTAGAAGGTCACCAACCGACTCTTCAACTCAGACTACACAGTCATTCTAGCTGTGTTTGTGTGCCGAACGGCTGACTGGTGGACTGAGAGTCAGACTGCAATGGCTCCGTCTTGACGTAACCTCTAGTACCCTCACGTATGTGAGATTCATGCCAATCAGCCCATATTGTGCGAAGTCTCAGCGTTTTGTGTTTCGGGGGCCAGGTTATACATGTGGCATGTGCAGACGAGGTCACCTGCTGCGTCAGTCACTGCGCCAGACAATGACGACTAACCGGCTCGAATAGTGGATTGGTATATGGTAACGGGAAGGGAGAGTGAGGTCGACGGTTCCAGCGCGTATTCCTCACTACAAACAATCTGATCCGCTTGAATGCATAACAATGCGTTTGTGGCGGTCAAGGATGTGAGATCGACTTAAACCACGCACAATAAGTTCGTTTCGTCTAATGTCAGCAGTCAAGGAGCTGTGAGGACTAGTTTATTCTGTACACAGGGCAGGTAGCCGTAAGTTGGTGGTTTGCTTGCAACAGAGAAAAACGTCCGTTCACGGAGAGCATCAGTCACGGTGTGTGTTGTTTACGCGGGTGGAAGTGTCTAGGTCAGCAGGAGGGGGTGACTGTCTGCGTGGTGGTCGTGTGATTGGACAAATTAGGGGACGAATGGAGGGCGCATACTCACAAGGCCTCACGGGAATCAAGCCAAAGCGTTCGACGCGCGTTAGGCGATACTAATTTGTGAGTGCAGCCGGTGTTCACTGCAGCAGGACCGGAGGTGTCCCAGTTCTAGCCGGCGGGGTTGGTCGTGCGTCAGCGGCCTGTCAGTGCTTATCGCGGCAATCGACCGACAAAACGGAGCCGGAGAAAAGGGGGGCTGGGGCGGCTGCTACACGTTTAAAGCCGTGACTTGGAACGTTGCTAACTGACGGGATTATTTGAACCTCGCAGTCGATCCGGTGTGTGTTTGTGGGTTGAGTGTCCGACCCGTGGACAGAGTGAGGCTGTAATGGTCTCCATGACACTTCCACTCCAGAGGATCCGAGCCGGATATGGCGACACGCCTAGAGAAGATTCCGGTCGTGTCAGCCACCTGCGCCTTCTCCCATCTCCGGTCTTCCTGACTTGACTATGACACCGGGCCCAACTGGGTGGAGGAGGAGGAGGAGAGTGCGGTAGATACAGCGCAAGTCCGCTTTCACACGAGCATGTGACCGTCCCTGCTCCCACCCTGTTGTTGAGCGCGCGGTTGACATCGTTGGTCACAACGGTCGAACTGCTTTATGCATATGTGCAACTCCCATTCCTGGATGTCCTTGTACGTCGAAAAACCGATGGATCACTTCAGACATCAGTTTATCGCAAAGAGGCGTATTCAGAGGTCATCCTACACTTTGAGAGTAACCACCCTGTCTCTCACAAACGGAGTACAGTCTACAGCCTTCTGAATAGAGCCAAAACCCACTGCTCTGATGAAACAAGTTATCGAGCAGAAATAAAATACCTCTACAAACTGTTCTCCCAAAATGGGTACCCGCATGACTTTGTACGTCAATGCATGAGGCACCAGCAATTCAAGGGAAAAGGTATTTCCAATGCTACGGCCGCTCGGACACCAAAACTAACCACCTGGCGAACTCCCCCATACGTGAAAAATGCATCTTAACTAGTCGAAAGACAATTTAAAAAGTACCTGATACACGTAGCACACCAGCCTGCAACAACCTTACGCACACAGCTTGTACACCCTAAGGACAGGATTGGCTACCTCAAAATAAAAGGTGTTGTCTACAAAATCCCATGTTCTAGTTGTGATGCCGTCTATTGTGACCAAACTGGGAAATCTGTCTCAACCCGTATATTTGAACATCAGTTAGCGGTAAAGAGACGCGACCATCTATCCCAGGTGGCCATGCACCCACTGGACACTGGGTACAAATCTGCATGGGGAAACACTCGCATTGTTGGCGCCTGCCCAATAAGGAAAGGCCACGAATTCCGGAGGCAATGCACTCAGATGAGGCATGCATCAACCGGCATATCGATTTAGATGCCACATAAGAAATCGTTAAGTACAGATCCAAACGGACTCAACTAATCCCGAGAAGATGGCTTTAACCAATCCTAGAATCCTTTGTCAAACTCGGTCTAGAAGTTGTTTTTGCACGCCCGTTGTCTAAAGACGAGCTGGGAAACCAGTCTGGAAAATTTAAACAATAGAGTTTACTGTTTCCCAAAGAATTCCATCTTCCTAATTATATCTCCTGGGATGCCTGTTTTTCAACATATATGAAAAAAACAACACCCTGTGGAGAAACGGAACTGCACTCGAAAATTTCTAAATCAATTACACCAACCCTTCGATAGACGAAATTAATAATGGTCGATGGTATTATTGCATTAGAGTTTGGAGGCACATAGGCCAAATTAACAGGCGGACATCGTGTTGCAGTTGGTGCGATGATGAGGATGGTGATATGGGTACTTTCACATATGACTTGCTGCGTCGTGGAGATTCGCGAATGCGTGCGAATTTGCAGGACCAAGTATGAATTAGCAGCTCTTTTTCTACAGTAGACAGAATGCATTGCGCCCTGCAGTCACACCAAAGTGAGTATACCGATTGACACTGCGGTTAATTCTGCTTGTATTAGAGCACCAGGTCTAGAGGAATTTTGATGCGTGTTTGATATTAAAGGCAACCCAAAATGCCGAAGCCTGATCTAATGGATTATTGAAATGACTATAAATATACTACTAACATGATTTCAACAGATCCTATTTTTTGCGTCAAACTTAGCCCATATTGAAATTTTCACAGTCCGAATGCGGTGAACAAGGTTTTTCGCAATTATTTTGCGAATATAATACCCCTTTCACCTTTATGTTACATTATTAGATTTATGAATTCTCCCTACTAAAACTGCAAGCAAAAGTTTTGCAATTTAACTATGTTACTTTATACCTGTACCCTCTAAATGGAAATTTCATGGCTTCTGTCGTTTACTCCAAATATACTGACTGATACTGACTGATGACGATCACATCAGTACCGTCCCAATTAAAACAACGGTCATACTCAAGGACGCGCCCAAAAAAGAAATACGTGCGGTTAGATCGGCGGATAGCTAACTTATTTCCGTTAATCCGGATCGCCTGTCGTCGACTGGTATTGCCAACGTAAACACTGGGGCAATTTACGCAAGGAGCGTTACTCTCTGAAAGTGGGGGGTCCTTTCTCCCGATAATGCTGCCCTCAGGGAGGTCGCCGGCTTGCGGATGACGACAATTGTCCCAGAAACTCCCCAGTTATCTTGCATTACACAGTTCGCATGTACTGACAGGCAATTTCCCCCATTCTTCAATGCAAAGAATAATCTTGTTCAGCTTCAGTGACCTTGCACTTAATTATTCATAAAAAGTAGAATTCTTAGACCCTGTCCCTCTGCGTGCGTACTTCATTGTTAAATTTGTTAATTTAACAGTGTCTGTAGGACGTGAATTTAAGTGCCCGGGACGCGGCCTTTTAATGTCAGACCTGAAATTTCAATGAACATTTGGGTCGAAGGCGATCAACTACTGTGGAATAACCACGAAATGTCCATCCTACAAGCAAGTAGTACCACTAGTAGTATAACTTTATATTGCAGATGTTCATACCGTACTCCCGACATAGGTGCTAGCTACAAGCCCAGACACGTGCCTCGCCGATATTCTGTCGCTGCTTGACAGAGCTGCGAGGGGTTCGGCTCCTCAGCGGGTCGCCATGGCCAACAGGAAACACGCGAGAGAACTCCTCGAGGCTTGGTACTCCAGTGCGGACTGTAACAACCACCAGGTTGACCTAGACGCCCAATATGAAGGCCTGGGATCACGGTCCACTGAGCCTTTCGCCCATGCTGTCTCGGCGACCGTTAATCCAGTCTATCGAAGCCCCACCAACCTACCAGCACAGGGAGCCGTAACTGTTCTCTCCTCCTCTCCCCTCTCAGGAACCTACCACGACCCTGTGCCCACCCCACCCCACACGGGCTAATGATCTGCCTATCAATGTCTGTCCTGTCGCGCCGACTGGTCTCGCGTGACGGTCCCACTATCTCCTTTGTCTCCAGTTGTAGGGGTATCAAAAACCAATAGAAAAAGTCAAATTATATAATTAGGCATTTTTGTCGAGTGTGGTTTTTGCAGGCGGTCGAATGGAAACGCACCCAATAGAGGAAGACGCGTTCATCGACAGAGAGGTTTATTGGAGGTTTAACGTTTTGCGTAGTTACCTCGGCTACCCATCTTCAGAAACTAAAAAATCACGCGCACAGCTCTCCTTAAATGGCGCACTTTGTTTGGTGCGTAGCCCTCCAATGTCGACTGTGTGACTGCATCCAACCTGCATTTTACCGTGAAAACGAATTTTCTTTGTTTCATTCTTTCATGTAATTTTTTAAAAAAAAAAACAATTAACAAGATGTCAGCGGACAAAAACCCTGGGCGATCGGTCGCTGCTAGAAAAAGGCGTAGGCCTCGGTTACTTGCACATTTTGGCATCCGATGAAACCGCCTTATCAAAGCAGTTGGAGAAATCGTCAAAAATAATCTCCGTTTCCTGCAAACTGAGGGTGTCCGAGTCGCGTCTAGACAGTTGCTGCGTTGGATGCTCCGACTCGGGCGTCGAGATGTCCTCAAGACGTTTTATCCCAGGAGGCAGTTTGAATGGCTCCTGTAAGACCTGATCTTCACCATCTGAATGTCTGTCTGGAGCGACAACGGTGCTACTCAGATTGCCCGAAGATGAGGATCGGGATCGCGTGAAAAGTTGGCGTCGATGTGCGCGTTTGCCAAAAAGTCCCTGATGTTGGTAGTACTCGTAAAAGGTGAGGGCTAGATTGCGTCCTAGACGGCAGTCTACGGGTAACGGCCAAGTCAAGGAGGATGAGAAGAGAGTGTTGGGCACAAATTTTGTTGAAAGTTGAAAGCGGACCAAAGTAGTACAGTTAGTGACCTAACTCATGACACGTGTCGAAATTTACGAATGATTGCCAACCACTCGCAAACCGACACCATTTCATGAGTCAAACGTCTATGTTAATTAAGTACAAGTTTAAAAGAATTAAAAACCTAAAATAAATATTTAAGACAGTGTTGCGTTGTTTAGAAATGCCGACTTCTTTAGAAAAGCACAATATCCCGAAAACGTCAGAAATGGCTCTAATTTAGTAAACTCGTTTTTAGATGTATAGAATGTATTTTTATAAAAAAACGTAGTAAATATGAAAGAAGAAATAAAATAACGTCTAATAATAGTGTTTCAGTAAAGTTTGCCTCTTAATATCGTTTAATAATCAGTGCGATTTCATATATGATGGTTTGTCAACCGCCTACACTGTGTGTAGATTCCAAAACAGTTTTTCAAGGAATTCGTGTTTTCCTTGACTGTTTTGAGTTAAATGAGATGGGGTTCAAAAAGAGGAACTGGATTTTGCTTGATTTCACCGATTGGGACGTCGTAGGAACAAAGGTTTTCATAAGTGGACATGCCATGAGACCAGTCGGCGTGATCGTAAACATACCGCTTTGTGTTTATGGAGAGAACGTTTCGGCTAGATCGCAGATGGTAGCCAGGAATGGAGAAGCGGACTGCGACCTTAACCCTAACCTCAACCTTAAACGTTAACCGTTAACCTTACCTGCAACCCTAACCCTAACCGAAATCGTAAACGGAACCGTCGTCATTAGACATGGCCAAATGGGTAAGACGTAATTATGTAGCCCAACAAAAAAGCCCCAGTAAGCAAACCCCCCAGCCACCTGTTATACGGGGCCTGGCCACCAATTGCGATAAATTAATTTACACTTTTCGTTCGTTTCGGATTACGTCGAGTTTCAGATTGGCCTCGAAATTTTGCTGAATACTTCATGCTTTTCTTTCACGTTCCTAAACAATACTAATAATTTTCTACCGTGAACGTAGGAACATGCTTTTCTCTATACATTGAGGCCATTTTCACTGTTTTCGCTCGCTATTAGACTCCGTTCTTCGATTATGAATGCACGGCAGAGAGCCCAAATAAATACTGATATTGTGCTGAAACTATTAATGTTTTGGTCGTTTTATTTCTGAATAAGGTATGCACAGAAACTAAACTACACGACAAGTAGTGTTTCATATGTTCAAAACTGGAAATGACCATTCGGTGGTGGTCATTTATGTGAAATCAGGCAGAATTTTCCAAACGGCAAAACAATTTAGCCCATTTAAAAGAAAGAATCCCTATCTGCGTTAGTACTGCATTTTAGGGCACCAAATCATACAGATCTGCTAATTTGACACTTGGAAAATGATAAAACCTATTGTTTTCTTAAAATAACCTTTATGATAGCAGGTTTATTACCATGGTTAACATCGGATATATAATAAATTTTACAGTTCGGCTAAATCTGTTTATTAACACTCTCGTGGATAACTTACTATCCTTTCAATGAAAAAGTCTCTCAGATGCGCAACCAAAGTCTAGGACATGCAGTAGCATAGGAAATTGCACGAACATATTCCAACGTCCATTTCTGTCAAAATTTACTGACACTTTACTTGGTACAATTACGAAGGCAAGAAAAGGACATTTCATTGAGGGATGTGGATGGGCGAACAAAACGCGCAACGTTAAAGACGTCCAGAAATTCTCGCATCAGTTTCCGTTATCAGATTTCATGAGATAGGTCACGTACTGTACATGCAATCCATCGCCTCCAAAACACTTCGTACGAATTAAATTTAAAACCTACGCACAAAACGACGATTTCTTATACGGTGAGATACAACATGTAATTAACAACGCATTCCATATAATTGTCTAAAAAGGACAGCAAAATTGTCATATCCGAGAAGATTACTTAGGCGTACAGTAGGCCTGCTAACTCATGAAATCTTAACATAAGTAAATGAAGGGACACGCTGTTTTATGAACGGACACTTCATGGTCTCAAAAAATCCAATAATTAAAAACTTTTTAAAACTGAATTATACCCTTCCTCCAAGCATAAAATTTGAAAAGAACGTAATTTTTCACTAAATAAGTAAAAGAACGAGTACTTTTACGCAGGTTTTCTACAAAATATATTCGGATTTATAAGAGTTTAGAAAATCAATAAGAAAAAATCTCACTGCTCAAATAGTTACTTTTACAAAATGTAGTTTTACCTGTCGGCCAAAAAGAAGTTCATTCAAAAACGGACATCCTGGAGTAACTGAATTATTATGGGACTGTGCTACATGGTGGTTAATATTACAGCCCTACTTATGTGATCTTTTGAGGCTGAAAACGAATTTTAGAATTTCGGTCAGAATTTCTTGAATTTACACAGCTAATGTAGTCTGAGTAATCTTCTCAGATATGACAATTTTGCGGTCGTTTTTCGACCGTTACTTAAAATGCGTTGTTGATTACGCGTTAGAAGGAAGGATATAACTCGAGTTTAAAAAATTTTCCGATTCCCGAATAATTTTCAACCCGACTTACCGTATTAACTTGCATTCAAGGTTTCCAAACTACAATCTGTATATTTTCCGTGTACGCAAAGTGACACATTTCTATACGCTATCAAGAGACCCTGCGGAGTTCATAAAATTTAGCAGTCAATTTCAGCCATATTGTAAACTTTTCAACAAAAATTAGCAAATGCAGAGACATAGTGCTTCATGAAAAGGGCAGTTCGGTGTCCTAAAGAATCTAATAATTAGAGATTTTTATTACGCCCTTCATCAGGCATAAAATTTGAAGACGTAATTTTTGTACCAAAGTAACAAAACAAGGAATATTTTTATTGACGTTTTCTATGAAATCAGGTTGAATTCATAAGTACATCGAAAATCGATAAGAAAAATTCACGCTACTTGCGGAGTCCCTTTTACAGAGTGTAGTTTTTGCAGGTGGCCGAAAAGGAGTTCGTTCAAAAGCCGGAATCCTGGGATAACTGCATTATTATGGGATTATGCTTCGCGGTGATTAGTAGTACAACCCTTCTTAAGTAGTCTTTTCGAGTCCAAAACGCATTTAAGAATTTTGATTAACATTTCATGAGTTATCGCATCTACTCTATGCTGTTGTTTGTTCAAATTGCATTCTGAAAGGCGACTTTGAGAACTGCTCCGTACTATAAAAAAGCGTTTTAAGGGGATACGGTTTAAAGGCAAGGGGGCCGTTTAAAGTGTCACGACTGATTGAGGACTAAAACGGAGCCCACATAGACTGGGTCATGCAACGGTGCATGTGACACAATGAAGCAAACTGAGGAGTCACAGGTAGAACTGACGAACGAATCCAAGTGCAGAAGCCGAGGGGTTATGTGTTCTGTGACAAAATGAGTGCCTCGACTGGGCAAGCTGGTGGACGCTCCATCCACATTCGGACAGCTGTCTGGAGTTCAAAAAGAGCAGTTCGACTTTTCGTCATGAAGCCATAATCAATTTACCGGAAATGCGATTGCGGCTGTTTTCATTAGTGTCGAACCTGACAGTAGCGACATTCAAGGATGACAGGGCACCAACTCATCGATGATGCATCGTGCAGGGATTCTAAAACTGACCCTTGAGGTTAGCCAGATCTATTAGCGCTGGTCCAATATACTGAGCTGGGTTTTACCTTCAGTAAAGTACTCTCAGAACGCCACACCCACAAACGCGTTCTCAGCCAAGCATTGCTCCTCTGAATTCCTGGAATGTTAAAGAGTGGGAGCAAGTTTCATAACTCACCAACAGAATGCAGAGGTGAGTTGAGCGCTAACTCTAAGTTATATCAATTATTTGGTTAGTTCAATGGGTTTTATTCCGACTACTTTGAAGTGACTGAGGCGAAGGAAATAACTGCTACGTTCACTCGATTTTCCTTAATTTGGCACGTCTCACTAGCAGGTCGATTTCCTCATTAACGCCATATGTCCGTCTCAGTACACACTGATCATGATATAGAAATATACAAATATATATATGTTGTTAAGGTGATACCGACAAAGACAAGGGAGACCGGAATGGCCATTTCTGGCTTATTAGCCGTCATCAGCCAGTCATACCCAACCCCAAGTGTGGATCACTTGAGATTCGAACCCAGGATCTTTGGTCATGGAGTTCAACGCTCTACCATTGAGCCACGGGCCCGTTGTCCTGTCGGTTGTGATCGGGAATATCAATTATGACAGATGGGCAATTAAAGAGGGAAGGACCATCGTCGAGGCAACAGTGCGGAGGTCTGGCCCGACTTCACTAGTGGTGACCCACGTCGTTCTACCCGACGGTAAATGTGATTAGAGTGCAGTTGTGGGTGTGAGCAGAGGCAATAACCACACAGGATCATCTGGGGGTGAGCGACTGCCGATGCCTACTCGACTGGTCGCCACATCTAACTCCCTAAGTTTGCGCGACTTCGCAGACATACTGTACATAAGTGAACCCAGACCAACCGCAGCCATCTCCAGGCCTTCCGGTCAGCCTCAGAAATTAAAACACCCAGGCTTAGGAAAACACGCTGACTACGCCATCAAGAGACCATGCGGCGTTCATAAAATTTAGCAGTCGATTTCAGCCATATTGTAAACTTAACAACAAAATTAGTAAATGCAGAGACATAGTGTTTCATGAACTGGCACTCCAGTGTCTTAAAGAACCTAATAATTAAAGACTTTTCAAAAGCTGAATTATGCCCTTCATCAAGTATAAAATTTAAAGACGTAATTTTTGTACCAAAGTAGCAAAACAAGGAATATTTTATTGACGTTTTCTATGAAACAAGTTTGAATTTATAACGGCATCGAAAATCGATAAGAAAATGCACACTACTTGCGGAGTCACTTTTACAGAGTGTAGTTTTTGCAGGCGGCACGAACACCAGCTAGCTGCGGACGGACAAAGCATAAAACGCACGCGCTTCGAACTAAAACTCTCAACGGCTATCGCCGACCTGGCGATAAGGCGTGACCGATTTCATGAAGTGTTGGCCGAAATTCTGAAATTTGTTTTAGATTAGGAAAGATTACATAGGTGGGGTTGTAATACTGACTAGCATTCAGCATTTCGGACTCACCAGGTTGTTGGCTTTTGGATGCACTCCTTTTTGACCTTCTGCAGAAACCGCGATCTGCCAAAAATGGCTACTTAAATTGCATGCATTTTTCGTGCTGATTTTCGACGTTCCTACAAATTAAAATATGTTTTATAGAAAACGTGCACAAAATAGGCCTTTTTTACACTTTCGGTAGAAAATCACACTGTCTTCATATTTTATACCTGAAGAAAATGCATATTTAGGTTTTAAAAAAGTTTATAATTATGAGATTTTTAAGACCGTGCAATGTCCATATATACAACATCGTACGTGTCCATTTACCAAGGCCTCTCATGAAATGTACAACGCAGTCCAGATCCATTGCAAAATTTTATGAACTCTATATGGTATCTCCTTAAAGGCATAGAGGAATATATGATTCTCCTTACGCGGAAAGCATGCACGTCGTAAACTGAAATTGCTGAAGGCTAATGCAATGGCAGATCTGGCTCAAAATTATTCGGGGACTGGAAAACGTGTTCAAAACCTAAATATACACTTTCTTTGGGCATAAAATATAAAGACAATGTGATTTTCTACCGAAAGAGTAAAAGAAGGCTTTGTTTCGGTAATCAACCTTGTCAAGGATAACGGTTGACCGGCTTTTGTCAGCAGACAGAATAATTATTTCGGTGTCCACTTTCAACTCCCTTAGGGCCTTTTGTTCATCTCTTAGCAGCAGCAGAGCAATTCCTCGACAAAATAAGGGCGATCACGATCGAACCGAATGAGAGAATGGTGTCATTTGACGTCATCTCACTCTTTTGATATTTGATTTCACAAAAACATAGAAAATCGATAGGAAAAGTGCACACCACATAAATAATAATCTTTCATAGTGTGACTTTTGCAGGCGGCCAGAAAAAAAGCTCATTTAAATGCCGGTATCCTGCTGTGACTGGAATATGTTGGGATTTTGCCACACGGTAACCAATGTCACAGACCTACTTAGGTTATCTGCTCGAATTGAAAACGCATTTCGGAATTTTGGCTAACATTTCATGAGATGGTACGTCCATCGCAGTTCATGGTGAGCACGTATAACCGAACCCTGACAAATATTCAGTCACTTGTGTAACGTGAGTAAAGAACGTGTCTCTTCCCCTCGGCTAACCAGGAGTCTAAAAAGGTTTTTGCATATTTTAAATTAAGCCACCGGTAAAGCAAAATAATAGGACTATTTTAGCCTCAAAAGGATACATCGGTCTTCCGTATATGGGATGGTGACCCCTTTGGAGTTGGTGTAACTGTAGAAGGAAACCTCGAGGGTGTAACAGAGCGTTCGTGGGCCAAACATGCCGCCGACAGCCCTGCAAAAAAGGGACAAAACTCCATTGAAAACCAGCCTGTGGCAGTTTATGTGTCTCCTACATTGCTGTACAATGATTTATTCTTAGCGCGTAGAATAAAAACTAAAAAAAAACCAAGGCGTCATCATTACTGTGGGATAATCAAAACATGCTTTTCCCCAAAAATCATGTAAATGATTACGTTAAAACAGTCACCCAGAAACGATGACTCAACTGCTGCTGTTGCTCTTACTGCCGCTGCTGCTGTTGCTATCATTTCCATACTGCTTTTCGCCATAAAATTAGTACTGTTAATAGATAGACCTCGAAACCCACGCAACATCGGTTGACTTCTTGAAGATGCTTTTGCACTGCGCCCTGAGATTTTACACTATTTCAAGTGATTTAAAACACTCTGAGAATATGGCTGTTACCTGAGCATGCTGTTGTCAATATGCGTCAATTTTCTTTAGAAAAATGCATTACAGCTTAACCAATGGGTGTGTTTCCGAGGTCTTTAAATGGCTGTGCAAGTCCACCAAAGCATTCCAGGTGAGTTACGAAGCAGCCGCTATTGGAAGAGTAGAGGTTTCTCTGCACGTTAATGTCTGGCAACGATAGCACGTATGGCTGTCGACGGAAGTTTGTCTCCTGTTAGTTTCGCGTGGCTCGTCTCAAGACTGTCCTCTAAGAGACTCATGAGTTACGCGTTGGGCAAATTTTCCTAATTCTTGCCTCCAGTCTTATTCTTGAATTGAGCTAGTGATGATGTTTAAGGCTCCTTTTTGAGGTGAAAGCTGGGTAACGTTTTTTTGCAATCTTTTGGTGCAAAATGTCCCTCGTAATTTCCGTTAGGTGAACCGTCTGCATTACAGTCTGGTCAACTACCGTCAGCGGCATGAAGCGGGTTGTAGGATTCAAAATTGTTTTGAAAATGTTACTCAGGTGTAATCAGTAGGCACATAAATGACAACTACTGTTTACTTTGAAGCACTGACGTGTATCAGGGAATTCGTGTTAAGTACAATGCAGACATAGTAAGGTTTTTCTGGAAAGGCTTTCCCTAAGCTCCATTACTAAAGTCGGGTTATAAACATTTACGTCTTTGTGATATGCCTTTCAAGCGACACTCAGTGTTCATAAGTAGCCATAAGTAGTGTTTGGTAACTCTAGAACATAATGTTTACGGAAAGCTATTTTAAATCCTGAAAAATGTCACAATTTCAAATGCTTTTAAAACCGAAATACTTTAATAGTACCGTCCTTGCAGAAGGTTCCCGAGCAATGGGAATATCAAGCAAAGCGTCTGTACGCCCCTTTCAGAGAACATTATGGAAGCATGAATAACCATACATTAGTTCACTGACTTTAGTCGTAAAATAAGCTTCGAATAGGTGACAGAGGCAACAAACAGGAAATTCAAAGTAGATCGAAGTCGATCAAGATTTGCTAGCGAGAGACATGCAGTATAGAATCTAGGTTGGCAGAGACAGCGCCGTTTCGGACCTGTTTTGTCTTTATTCAAACAGTCGCAACCATCTGGATCCAGAAGCATGCTATTCTGACTATCACAAGCGAAAAGACTCATCCCCAACTCCCCAGGAGATTGGTTCAGCGGTGATTTCTAAATGAGTTTGCTTATGATGAAGACTGCCTACACCACATCTATCCCATTCTTTTTTCCTTCACCTACCTCGCTTCAATGGCAGTACAGGACGGAAGTGGACGCAAGAGAAGTGACTGGCAAAGACGAGCCACCCGTCTACGCGTGCCACAAACGGCCTGGCCCTTGCATCATATTAATCGGGCTTTGTTCATTGACGACGAAGTTTTTAAACTTCTAAATAGGTCGTAGGCATCTCAGTAAGAGGAGTCGTCGCAGGCTGATTTGCAGTCTTAGTCAGTTGGTGACCTTCCAAGTCGCGATTACTCGCCTCTCGTGATAAATTCCAGCACGCCAGATTTGCCGTAGCAGCTAAGGCGCTTAATCATCATGGAGATAGATTGTCTCCACTGTTAACATCACGGGACGAGTGAGTTCCGTAACAGGATCGATGAGCGACCCTCTACCACTTAGGTTCCCGATCGCAACCGACAGGACAACGAGTCTGTGGCCCAGTGGTTAGAGGCGTTGGACTTCAAGCAGGTCGCGGGATCGAGCCTCAGGTGTTCCATACCTCGGAGCTAGGTATGGTTGGCTGACGACGGCTAATAGGCCAGAAATGGCCATTCCAGTCTCCCTGGTCTTTGTCGGTAATCTTACTCCATCTTGTGCCATTATCTAGTCGACTGACCCACCCTGCTTGAATACCGGTGGTGAGCTTTGGCACGGTGGCTAATTTGGCGTAAGATCCTCCGTCTAAGGCTTGTAACGCGCATGCACGGCAGTAGTCACGGGCCCGGTAAACGCTTACCGTGTGGCTCCCGTTTTGATCCGCTGCGCTGACAGTGCAGCCCGTTACGAAGGTGGAAGGAGTTTAATCGTGCGCACGCACACACACAGAGCGCAGTTCGAATTGACGTTCATCAGTGCCCAACGACCTGGCACCATCTGTCACTGCAGTGAGGCATTTACTAGTCCGGAAATGGGCGCACGCCGACGCATCGATTTCCTGGAACAAACAGGCTCCAGCTGGATGGCGGAGTTCGCGAACAGGCAGCCATTTACCAGGTCTGACTCAGCGCAAATGACGGGCGCGGTCTTAATCGGTCAAATAGCGGCAGTGTAAGTTTGAGACAGTAGACATGTCAATTTATCCTCGTCTCTGTCGATAGCTTCAACAAAGATCGTTGAACGTATACAGTGAAAATTAATAGGACAGTGTCCATTAAGTGCGTTAGTCGTTTTTTGAATGTGTGACTCTGTAATTGTCACCCCAGTTGAGAAATCTTTTGTACTCAAAAATATATGTAAAAGTCGGTGTGTCTCGGGTAGCGGAACGCCTAGCTTCTGTACCTCTTCCTGATATGTTGAATTTTATTTCCAGTGACTTTCTACTTACATTTATTCAGTATAGATTGAACAACTATAAACGCACAGCGCAAGTCGGTTTCTGTATTTCTATGTGCAAACAGCTAACAACGCGTACAGTGTGTGACCTATCTCATGAAATTCAAATATATTTTATAGAAACCACAAACAAAAATGTGCTTTCTTTTGGTCAATCAATAGAGAATCACGTCTTCTTTATATTTTATACTTAAGGAAGGAGTATAATTAGGTTTTAAAAAAGTTTTCTAATTGCCGAAAAATTTGGAGCCTGATCATTCGTTGCATTAGCGCTTAGTGATTACACTCTACGAGGTGCATGCGTTCCGCGTAAAGAAAATCCCATATTTTTCTATGTCATTAAAGAGATATCCTACAGGGTGCATAAAATTTCGCAATGGATGCGGACCATGTTGTACATTTCATGAGGAGCAGTGGTAAACGGCCAGCTATGATGCTATTTGAATGGACATATCGCGGTCTTAAAAAGTCTCATAATTAGAAACATTTTTAAAACCTAATTATACTCCTTCCTTAAGTGTAAAATATAAAGAAGACGTGATTCTCTATTGATTGACCAAAAGAAAGCACATTTTTGTTTGTGGTTTCTATAAGATATATTCAAATTTTCAAAACCATCAAAAATCAATGGGAAAAATGCATGATACTTAAGTAGTCATTTTTTACCCAGCACGCTTTCTACAGGAGATTGAAAAGAATTGCATTTTTAAGCCGACATCCTGCCGAGTCTAAAATGTTATAAGAGTATGCCTTAAGATAATCAGTATCACAACCGCGACCAAGTAATCCTTCCTAATCGAAAACGCATTTCAGAATTTCAGCCAACATTTCATGAGATAGGTCACGCACTGTATATAATAAGCCAGAAGAGACCATCACTTGACTTATGTATTAATTTATTGTTCTAGTTCGCGAACTTTGGCAAATGCGCCCACCTAACGGTCTTGACATAAATAGTAGTTTTTAGACTTAGTCCAGCAGTACCGCAAGACGCGTGAACCCGAGGAAATCGGGATGAGTATGTAGGCCGGAAATATGGTGAGATGAACAGGGAAATAGTAATTTCCAGAATTATCATCTGCGAGTTTTTTTCAAATTTATAAAAACTGCGACATCGAAATAGTCTTTCAGTGAATGTTTAAGCAGACACAGCAGACAAACTTGCCTGTAACGCCCTCAAGTTCAAACAACAGTGTTGTTGATAGAAACAAAGGAGCGTACAAGTTTCGCTGTCACTAGTGTCCACTTCTACCGTCTTATCTATTGATCTAGAGATATACAGTGCGTGGCCGATCTCATGAAATGTTAGCCGAAATTCTGAAATACGTTTTCGATTAGGAAGGATTAATTAAGTGGGGTTGTAACATTGATTAGCATGCAGCATAATCCTATAGCATTTTGAACTCACCATGATGTCGGCTTTTGAATGCACCCATCTTTGACCTCCCGCAGAAACCACACTTGGTGAAAGGTGACTACTTAAGTAGCATGCACATTTCGTATTAATTTCTAATTGTTTTAGAAATTCAAATAGATTTTATAGAAAACGTGCACAAAATAGGCCTTTTTTACTCTTTCTGTAGAAAATCACATTGTCTTCATATGTTATACCCGACGAAAGTGCACATTTAGGTTTTGAATAAGTTTCCCAACTCCCGACTAATTTCGAGTCTGATCTGCCATTGCATTGGCTTTTAGCAATTTCAGTCTACAAGATGCATGCTTCGGGCGTAAAGAAAATTATATATTTCTATATGCCTTTAAGAAGATGCCATATAAAGTTCACAAAATTTCCCAATGGATCCGGAATTTGTTGTACATTTCATGAGGAGCATTGGTAAACGGACATGTTTGGTCCTGTATGCATAGACGTCACACGGTCTTAAAAATCCCATAATTATGAACTTTTTGAAACCCAAATTCACACTATTTTCGGGTAGAAAATATGAAGAAAATGTGATTTTCTACGAAACGAGTAGAAGAAAGTATACTTTTGTGCATGGTTTCTATAAAATATACTTAAATTTAAAGACCGTCGAAAATCAATAGGAGAAATACATGCTACTTAAGTAGCCACTTTTCACCAAGTGTGGTTTCTGCAGGAGGTCAAAGATGGGTGCATTCAAAAGCCGACATCCTGCTGAGTCCGAAATGCTATAGGGTTACGCTGCATGCTAGTCAATATTACAACCACATCTAATTAACCCTTCCTAATAGAAAACGCATTTCAGAATTTCGGCTAACATTTCATGAGATCGGTCACGCACTGTATTTGGGATAATAACTTGCCGACAATGATTGCGTGCATTATAATGCTTGTTTTCTTCCTATCGGCCGTCGCCAATCAGTACGGCCTCAACCCCAGATTGAAAGCCCGACTCTTAAACTCCAGTAAGTTGATCATCGATCAACGTCCTCATTGATGCACCGCCCGCCCATGTCACATCCAATGAGATGAGGAGTAATCAGCCAGACGAGTGTCGCACGTATCGGTTGCAGGAGGGTACTGCATGCAACAGACGGCGCCTCTGGGATTCTGAACCATTCCATCTTTTCTACTTTACACCCTGACAAAGTCAGTTTCTGTTCCAACGTCGCCCATAGGGATCCTATTTTAAGTGAAAAAAAGGTTTAAAGTGAGAAATACTAACCGTCTACCCGTGCCGGCCTTTATGGAATGATTGTTGAAGTCGGTCTGTGAGAGGCTAAAGTCTTCAGCACAACGACTCAGCAGGTGAGGCAACAGGGACTCCCGTTCATTGCGCTCCTCGTCCTCATGCATGTTGCCGTACATGAAGCCATTGGTCAGCGTCGAATGCGCGTGTATGTCCACAAAGAAGTCTAAGTTGGTTGACTGTGAGACAGGGAAACAGGGCAGCATCAGACCGACTGAAATAATGCCAGTAAGTGGAAACAGACCTGGGTCGCTGGATCAGAGCCTGACTTGACAAAAAGGCTGGAAACCCCAATATTCACAAACTGAAATTTCTGCCTGGACGCGTATGGCTGGTGAAGTAACTGACGAAGCACCCCTAGATGTTGCTGCCCCTTTGCGTCTCTAGGAACCCATTTCTGTCTCTGCTGATGGATTCTGGTTTGGATCCGAAACATCAGACGGATAGAGTTTTGTTTTGAGCTATCGAGCCTTCTTCTTTTTGTGTGCACGGAGATTGAACGAATTCTACTGCACTATGGATTTGTCTAAAAAACATTTCACCAACTGACAGTTGTGGACGGACAGTCGACATAAGCACCATCATCATCATTGCAACAACGTTGCGATTTCGTATTGCAGTTATCAATGGCAGTGCCATCACAGACACCAGCTTCTATCCACATATCACCGAAGTCTACCGACAAAAACTCATGGGGTGGTAGTCTACAGGTGGGACGGATAATAGAGGACGACTTGTTGAGTGAATCACAGGAATTAGATTCGGGAAAGTTTTAAAAAACGGAGGACTTCGTTAAGAATAGTATGGAGAACCAGAGCGCCTCAAGACTGGAAAGTGAACTGTTGTTATCGGTTGCACAAATAAAGCGATACAACCCTTCATCCGCATGCCGTTTACCGCCTGACAATAGCTTTCTCCTATTTTCTGCCTTTCCAACAGAAAAACAAAGCACGATCAGCCTCTATTTACAGTATTCCGCTCAGGTTGACTACAAATATGTCCGATCTACTTTTAAGAGAAAGGATTTAAAGAGTTCAGCAAATTCTCACAGGCGCGGAAGAAGGGGGTCCTAAAGAGGCATTTTGGTCGGAGCCACTGGCGAGACGCTGTCGAGAGCGTACTGCCAGATGCATTTAGCGCGTGCGTATAGGCTTTTAAGTGAGATCGACTGAAACGTTTTGGGAATGTATACGTTTCAAAGTGTTTGACTACTTTGAGGCTATCTTTATGTGCGAAGCACACTTCTAGATCTGTGATAAGAGACAAAGCTGAATTATCACCTACGAACAAATCATTTTCAATGCCGAAGGCTGGAAGATTGAGATAATCTAATTTAAGAGTGAAAGTACCTCGAATTTATCCAAAGATGCCAGCAGATTCTTCACAGAGTAGATAGTTGGCTGCGCCACTGGAAGTGGTTCCTGCCAATGGCGATTTAAATCGAACCCGAGAAGGGAGCTCCTGATCGAAAAGAGAAGGTATTTTCAGTTAACATTTAGTTCCCAAAAGTGACATTGTGAGCGGAGTAAGAAAGAAGGCTAGAAAACTCTGTCCAACGCCTCTTAACTGCGGTAGGAGTTGGAGGATAACCTGTGCAAGGGCCTCGACTGTTTTATCAGGGAAAACCTGGAGGAGCTTCCACGCAGAAAACAAGATGCCTCTGTTGTTTGGGGTGAATCGCTATTTCTGACTTTACCTGTTAGTGAAAAATAATCTATCGCGCCTCAGCCAAAACAATGATTTCCTCAAATAATCATAGGTCCGCTTCAAAGTGCTGATGCTACTTTACTGTTTTAAAAATGGTCTGTAAATTTGGTAGCAAAAGTTCCATCACATGTTTGGTGGCTGATCTTCCCAAGAAACTGCAACGTCTCAATGGATGCAGCTGTTTACCTTTTGTTTATAAGCGGCTGTTTTAGGTTGGCGGTGCCTCTTCTGGATTTTAAAATAAAGTTCATGCAGTTATCGTAGATTTTAAAGCAATGGAGGGTTAACTATCAAAACGGCCTTCTCTTCAGAGGTAAAACACTTTTTGTGTTTTTACAGCATGACTCATAATATACAGCGAATTCCAAAAGCCAGGAAACACGATCGCCTATGCACAAGTGTAAAGTCCTATTCAAGTGATTTACTCTCTCTATGTTGCCCTGTAGTTAGAGCGATTGCCGTAACTTTCTCATTCAGAGTGAATGTCAGTTCTCAGTAAGATAGATTTTGTAGAGATCTAACAGAACTTTATAGAGACTTGCATAACTGACGACTTTCATGATCATTGACTAAGTTGCTATGCAAGGCAAAGGCTGGTGCCCTTGTGGAGTGTTTCAGCGGTTCTTTGGTTTAAGAACGTAATAACAATAAGAATCAAATTTTAATCCTATCTAGTCATTTTCGATATCCCCTAGCTGCAAAAGAAATGTAACAGTTTACTTCAACTAGAACAAATTGCGCAATCACAGATCATTTTTTATTTTGTCATTTGTAGAGTGAGGGAGTCCAGAGAAGAAGTAGAAATGTTCAACGATTTTGTAAGGTTGTAAAATATCATTTGGTTACCATGTGAACTTACCGATGATTTCCGAAAAAAACGCCATCGGGATTCAGCATTGGTATTATCATGAAAACTAGATGGTACCTGAGCTGTTTGGCAATTGCATGTGAACTGGTGAGGAAATCAATGAGTCCTGTAAAACGTAAAGATAGGTATGCTGCTTAAATTTCGGAAAGTGCAAAATGGAGTTTACGACTCCATGCTATGGGTTAGGCGGCACACTTACGGAGGATCACAGTCAGACAGATGTGGTCGTAAACTAATGAGTTAACTTTCATAGCCTCAATAGAGGCTGAGGATTTGGGGCCTTTAGAAAGATCGAAAATGAACGACCTCATGGAATGATGAATTTCGTTTACCCAAAAATTTGACTTATGCATCTTTGTTAACCTTTCTCTGCATAATTTATAAAATGACGGACTTAGGTGTGCATACCTGGTCAGAGGAGTCTCGATGTAATATACGCTTGTTTAAGAACGAAACAGGAAACCCGCTATTAAACAAATGCACAAACTTAACTAAGTTCAGATTATATTCGCTTTGTGAGGTTGCACATTATGCGATTTAATATTTAGTCATACCAGAATGTTATAAATGCAGCCATAAATCTTCCTAAAGCTTATAGGGAAGGAATATGGTGGCTCCAAAGAGCGGAAGCGTCTGTTTGATTCTGCTTTGATAGTGAGGCGCTCTAACGCTCTTTTTATCCCCCTAGGTCACGGATGCTGCACGTCTACTCGTCTGTCATCATTTTTGTTTTGTCGAAAAAAATAACTTCCGGTTTTATTTGACACGGCTTACAACTGCTTATTTTTGCGCGTAAATTTTCTTCAGTATTAAAAAACTGTGTAAAATACCTTGACATACGTACGAAGATGGACTTTCACCCGGGTGAACCCTCGCAGTGACGAAAACTATGCGTTTCTTCGGCAATCCAAATAAATTTGCATTGCGTGGATCTGTTATTGTAAGGAGTTCAAGTCGTCGAAGCCCCTAAAACGGATAAACAAATCGCTTTTGGACAGATTCTGGAGGCTACTTTTATTTCAGATTAACTTAATTTGCCAAAGTTTTTTGAGGTACTATATCCAACCGATACTAATTAGTAAAAAAACTCCTAAGGACGACTGACTGCGCCGCGGAATTTTGATAACAGGAAAATTCAATGTGAACATGTCGACAGATTTGTGACTGAGTGGACGAGAACCCTAAAAAACACCATATACTTTTTTAAAACATTACTAACATTCACTGCATCGACAAAAGTTTGTCGCACACCTCCCTTTGTGTAGTATATCCCCTCGAAAAAATTATCCGCGCATCCGAACTTTATTTTAATGGTTTGATTAATCAGGAACTCGACCTATTGAAAATTTTACATTCGTCAAATGATGTAAAATTTTAATTTGCATTCGTTGTCCTGTTTTTTTCAGCTTATGACATTAAACGTTAAATATCGTTTTTATCTGGGTAAAGTAAAACGATACTTGCATGAAGAGCCAGTATCCGACGGGGAAATCCTTAGTTTACTAAACTAAAAAAATCAACAGTAGTACGACCAGGAGGTAACTGCCATAAACGGGCTTTTTAATCCAGATGTTACTTAGTCGCCTTTACAAGTAACTAGTATGCCCAAATTGACTATTTTGTTGTAAATACCGTCTAAGATTTTTGATTAGCCTTACCAGACTCATTCCAAGCAGTTCCCTTTTCACAATCGTGCTATGCGTCTGAATAATGCGCTTGAGATATCGCTGAAGTTGTGTATACGTGTACGGATAACTGTAGCAAAAGTAGTAAATATCGTCCTCTCTGTCAAAACAGAATGTGAAGGACAAAATATAATTGTTTTCGTGCTCCGGTGATCGATAATAGAAAACATTCTTTCTCGGTATTCTACACCTAAAAAGAATTAGGCTTACTTTAGTTTTACCAGTATGGTCGGCTTGTGGACATTACAAGGGGAGACATTCCATCGCGGTAAAGCGTTCCGCATTTTGTGAAATTAACTATATTCATTATCACTCGCTGCCAAATTCATTGCTAAAATTTGAGGAAACCTGTTGGTGCTTAACATTTTCGATGGAGAAATAGAACCAATTCCTCGTCTTGGGATTGCACGTGTCTGGCCGAATATACAGATCATATTCGAAATCCGATAGGGCCTCAACACGTCCCAAATTACCTATTCACTTAGTTCCTATGTACGATTACATACCACTTTCAAAGGACGCATCGAAAATTAAATGACCCTTTTTGAGCTCTGCCTCATTTGGTGTCAAAACAGCAAACTTGCTGACATTCCCAAAACCGTATTCAATTCTCGCTTCATTCTCCTTTTTACAATTGCCGGGATACATTTTACGCAGACGATCTCGTTTGTCATCGCAAGAATGATAAATTAAAACACTGACATGTGTATCCCTTTTGCAGCAGATTAAGACTGCAAAGTATCTCTTGGCCCAAATATTTCCCGCCTGTTATTTTAGTTTTCGGAAACTGAAATCTTTTCCTACACCCAAATTCCCTATTATACTAGCACGGATCATGTGGAAAATTGAATTAAGTTCCGATACATACGGGCTCGATTTTGAACTGAAGGATCTAGAATCACACCATTTCTGAATACGCCTGACAACTTTTGGAGTAATCGGCCTC